TCTGATAACTTTAGAGGTTGTGTCATTGGAATAGAGAGAAAAACTTCCAGAACTCCCATAGGGAACTGACATATTCCGTATTCATGAGGATTGGTGATCCACAATCAAGTAGATTAGAAGTTAATTGCATGGATTGAACTAACAAAAGATTGAACTAATCTTTTATGACGTTTTGTTAGAAACATTTGATGATTCTGTTTGTTTTGTTTTTCAGTCAAAAAAACTTTCTCTTCTTTTAAGCTATTTACAATGTTTAACAATTGAATAAAGTATACTGTTATGAGCAAGATTTAAAACATAATTCCTTTCTCTCAACCTAATTTCTCCAAGTTTTGGAAACTATTTTGTGAGTATTCTTAATTTATGACAATATAGTTATTTGCAGAAATTGAATACGAATCTTTTCTTTTATAACATGGCTTAAGTGGAGAGAGCTGAAAGCTTAGTCATGTAAGAAGCTGCCTTTTGTTCCTAAGCATGTAGCTACAGATAAAACGTTAAATATATCCACAGGTAGCTGCTCTACATTCACTTTAACTTACATAAAGTGCCAATTTACTATGGGAGAGAGGAACACGTAACTGAATATTACCCTACTTGCTCTTATTTCTCTTGCAACAAGTGCATTCAGTAATGTGACCATACCCACCCTCTATCTCCTCCAATCTGCTTTTACCCTTTAAATGCTGAAGGCCTCAAAATCATCTTTGAAGAAAGGCACAGACTTGTCTCTAGGGCATGTCCTTAACATTGGCAAAATAAACTTTCAAATTTAGTGAGACCTGTCTCAGATACTTTTTAGTTTTCACATCATGAAATTCAGGGGAACAAATTAAATGTAACAAATCCCCAAGATACATGTATTTTCATGAACATACCTCTACCGCTCAACAGGGTATCTACCAAAAGAAATATAAAAATGAAAAAATAAACTGAGGACTCTTTTCTCACTAGCACAAAGAATCTTAATTTTTTTTTTTTTTTTAATTAGACTAGTGAAGAGAAGGGAAGAACAAGGAATAACTTTAAATTCCCCTTTTCACTTTAAAAAAATTCTTTTGGTTCAGCTTATGCAAGATTTTGTATCCATGTAAGAATTTAAGTTTATTTAATGAAAAGCATTGCTGGCTGGGCGAGGTGGCTCACGCCTGTAATTCCAGCACTTTGTGGGGGCCGAGGTGGGCAGATCACAAGGTCAAGAGATCAAGACCATCCCGGCCAACATAGTGAAACCCCGTGTCTCTACTAAAAATACAAAAATTAGCTGGGTGTGGTGGCACATGCCTGTAATCCCAGCTGCTTGGCAGGCTGAGGCAGGAGGATTGCTTGAACCCGGGAGGTAGAGGTTGCCGTGAGCCAAGATGACGCCATTGCACTCCAGCCTGGGCAACAAGAGCAAAGCTCTGTCTAAAAAAAAAAAAAAGTATTGCTAATGATTTAAAGCAATTAAAGCAAAATAAATTGCTAAAGGGGTATCATTTATTGAGTTAGATAATACAGATTTTTCTGTATTAGTAATGTCTATTCATTCGATTTTTAAAAAGACACCGTTTGAATTAGGTTACCACAAAGCAGATTTACATAGAACTGTTAACTGGAGAAAAACAAAGTTTTTTATGTGATAGGAACAGAGGTATTCTTTCCTCGATCATAAGAAAATGCGTGTTTTTAGAAGGTAAAGCTATTAAGTTTACCGAAGCACAGAACACTTTAAACAAAAACTCTTTATTTTTCAGAAAACGGTGTGATCTCTCATTTTCTATTCTTGGCATAATTTTTAATTATTTCCAGTGAAACCTAAACCTCCTGAATGCCTTTTAGTTTCATCCAGAGTTTGAACTTCTATTTATGAGTAAAAAAAGCTGTGCAATTTGATCACCTTTTTTGACTTCAAACCTTTCTTTACCGAAATTAAGCACTACAACACCAACATTTCTTTCATAATTTTCGTCTGTGACACCAGCTCCTTTATCTATAAAGTGTTTTGCAGCAAGTCCAGACCAGAGCCACTCCTCCATAACATCCAGAAGGAAGAGCTATCTGAATGTTCATTTTCACAAGAGCTTACTCTATAGATGGTATTGTATAATCATAGGCTCTATACAGGTCATAGTTCACGGCTATCCAAGACTCTTGGGGTCCGAGCCATGGCATGTGCTTGGAGAGTGGGCAAAGCACAGCTGCATGCTGCCCTCTTCAGCAGGCGGGGCCTGCTTCCTGGTGGAGAAATGGCTGCTATCTTTTCAGAGCAGGGCATGGAAGAGCAAAAGATGAGCAGAGGAAAGGGCCCAGGGTACGAGAGCACAGGATGAAGCCAAGCTCACTTTGATTATGTGGCAGTTAGCACCAGTGTCTCCATTCTGCTTTGGTCTGTTCTGCTGGGGCCTGGGGGCAGATCTTAGTCCAGAACAATGCATCTCATGAATTCATTTAACACAAACGACCACATTTTGTAAATGGGCAAAAGGTATCAATAGACACTTCCCCTAACTGGACATACACATGACAAATAAGCACATGAAAAGGTACTGTCCATCTCATCTGCTAAGAAATGAGAATTAAACCATGATGAGATAGCATAACATATATTTGAAAATGACTGAAATTTTTTAAAAAAGTTATTACTAAGTGCCAACAAGGATGAAGACACACTTAAAATCTTATATTCTGCTAGTGGGAATTACAAAATGGTACAATCACTGTGGAAAATGATCCGGTAATTTTTTCTAGTTTTGCAGTTTGTACTGCATTTATTTTTTTTTTTTAAACTCTATTTAATTATTTTTTGTTTCTTCCCAACTTCTATTTTTGCTTCAGGGTACATGTTCATGTTTGTAACATGGGTAAATTGCATGTCATGGAAGTTTGGTGCACCAATTTTATATCACTCAGGTAATAAGCATAGTACCAGACAGGAAGTTTTGTTTGTTTTTGAGACAGTCTCACTCTCTCTCCCAGGCTGGAGTGCAGTGATGTGATCTTGGCTCATTACAACCTCTGAGTTCAAGTGATTCTCATGTCTCAGCCTCTCAAGTAGCTGGGATTACAGGCATGCACCACCAAGCCTGGCTAATTTTTGCATTTTTAGTAGTGACTAATTGGATTTCACCATGTTGGCCAGGCTGGTCTCCAACTCCTGACCTCAAGTGAGTCACCCACCTCAGCCTCCCAAAGTGCTGGGAGTATAAGCATGAGCCACCGTGCCTGGCCAAGATAGGTAGGTACTCCCATCTCTACCCCCAAGTGGGCCCCAGCATTTATTTTTCCCTCCTTTGTGTCCATGTATACTCAATGTTTAGCTTCTACTTATAAGTGAAGGCAGAATCTTATCCACCTTCCTTGCTACCTTCCCTATGACGTTCTTGCCTGAACACCTGTACAGGTGCCACTAGTCACATTGAAAGCCAGTATGTTCCTGGGGGCAGATGCCAGACAGGAGGCAGTGAAAGGCTGGTTCTTTTCAAATTCCAGCTGGCATGTCCACCAAGGAACCATTTCTCACGTCCTAGGAGGAACTGAGGATTGGTAAGAATTCAGCTTCATGAGAGGGCTGCTCGTCTTCTACCTTTTATGAAGGAATGGGATTCCTGAGAACCATCCCTTTGCCTGTTCAGTCCTCAGCTTTGGATAAGAAGCTCGTTAAAATCATACTGCAGACATGCTAGTGGCTTACCCAAACTACTATCTAATTTCAGTGCTATAGCCCAAGAATCAGGAGATTATGGATAAAGCAGACTCCACTGACACCCCACTGGAAAAACATAGAGTGTTTAGAGGACTCCCAGGGAGAGGGGACCAGGTGTCTAAAGTGACAGTCCAGAATGTCTGTGCCTGTGGGACAGGACCCAGGGTGAGCAGTGGAAAAGTCAGGGAGCTTTTGCAGGGGATAGGAATGCTCCATGTCCTGGGGAGGGCAGGTGATTCTGTGCAGCGTCCAGAGGGAGCAGGGAAGAGCAAGCAGCAGGCTAGGTTCCCAGAGGTGGAACAGAGGGCACATGAGAAGGACCAGGTGAAGGGTGTTGTAACTTGGGAAAGTGTTCGGGCCAGACAGAAATGCTGGCTAGGAGTGTATTTGTCCCATGTGCTGAAGGAGAGAATCCAAGATGTGGATGAGCGCTTGTAGGCTCTCCCATAACACGTTCCGTAGTAGCTGCTCAACAGAAAGCATCTACTTTTTGTTCATTTTATCACCACGGAAAATCTTACTTTTTCTTACAGTTGGCCAAATAACACTTGAGAAAAGCTAATTAGAATACTTTTTTTTTTTTTTTTTTAAATAGGGTCAGCTCTGGCTCTCCCAGCCAGGCAGAAAACCACCTGGCCAGTGGCATCTGGGCCTAACATCCCAGCAGATTGATGCTAATCTCTCAGGAAACCCCTGCAGATGATGGGTATCCATCACTAACCTTGTGTGCTGGGTTCAAGTTCACTGAGACAAGAGTACAGGACACCTTCTATTCCTGCCCCAGGAGGAGATGCCTCTCTGTTTCATCCACCACCCAAAAGGAACTGCTGAACAGTTTTCCCTTCCAGGCTTTTCTCTCATGCTCCGAGAATGTGGCTCTGGCCCCAACCCGCTTCATTAGAATCAGCTCGCCTAAATGTTACTGCTGTTTCCCAAAGCCCAAAAGGCCATGGATCAGGGCATGTACCCTCCACCACTGTCTCCTGTTGTCCCACCCCCTCACCCCTCTCTTCTTTTTTCCTTTAGATCTTAGGGGGCACCTGGCCAGCTTGGTTACATGAATGCAGATCCTAGACTCAACCACCCTAAGCTTATTGGTGGGTCTGGCTTACCTCAGCATCTCCACTACTAATGCAGGACCTTCCAAATAGCAGATGCTCAATGAATGTTCTAGGAAAACATCAGCCAGTGAACAGGGGGACTTCTTTATTCATATTTCATTCTATTACATTCTCAAAGAAGCCAAGCGAATCCAGGTACACATGTATATTTTTTAACACTAAGATGTACAAGGAAGGCAAGAATTAGCTATTGTTTAATTGGGTTGGGATGGGTAGGGAATAGGAACTCTTGCACCGACCCTGGCCACATGCTCCAGGACTTTCACATAGCTGGTTTCCGCGAGGGCCCTTGGACCCCACAGGAACTCATAGCGTGCAGGATCACTGCCGGGCACCTGGCGGTAGTCGAGGTACTTTTCCTGCACCCAATCTTGGGTGAGCAACTTCCTGAGCTCCCCATAGATACTACGCTCCATCCCAACATACAGCCCCATCTCACTCAACCCTTCCCAGATTGCCTCCTCGGGGACGCAGATGCCCTTCACTACGATCATACCAAGGACCGTTATCAGGAGGCCGGTCTTGGGTGTGCTCTGATCATCACCCAGCAGACCATCATAGGAGAGGCCCAGGCAGGTGACAAGGAAGTAGATGTGGCCAGCGGGGTCCACTTCCTTCACTTCAATGCCAAAGACCACTTGCATGTACTCAGAGGCTTTGCTGAAGATCATAGGAAAGTAGTTGCTGTAATTTTTGATGACACTCTCCAGCATTTCTGCCTTTGTGACTGGCTCCTTGATTTGATACTTGCAGAGCAGGAAACCCACTAACTCATCCACTTTCTCATCAAGTGCTTCCCAGAGCAGGGATTCCATGGGAGCTGGGTCTGGCGAGGTGCTTGGCCCCTCCACTTCATTGGTGCTGGAACCCTCACTGGATTGGCTCCCTAGGGGGGTGTCGGTGACAATCAGGGAAGAGGAGGCACCCTGAGGAATCTCGGGAGGACTCGGCAACTCAGCAGCAGGCACCTCCTCCAGGGTTCCCGTGATCAGAGTAGAGGAGGAGGAAGTAGCCTCCTGCTCCTCAGCTGTGGGAACCTGCACATCCACAAGCCCCGGTGCCTCTCCTTGGGCCTGAAGGTCTTCTTCAGGCTTGCCGGGCTGACTCTTCTGCCCAAGAGACATGATAACTCAGGTCAGGGCAATAGCCGAGTGTGGGTAGGAGCTGGGCAATTGAGACCCACAGGCCTGGGGAGAGAGGGAGCGTGTGAGGGGTCTCAGCTGACTACCGCAGCCTGGATGCCCTAACAAAGGCCTACTTACAGGTCTCCTTCAGTGCTCCTCTGGGGCCTCCTGACCTCCTGGCTGGCCTGTCCCCTGTGAACCTGAAGGAGGAAGTGAGAGGGCATCTCAGGGTGCAGCCTCCTGGCAAAGGCAAAGGCTCCGGCACTGACAGAAGGGCTGGTAGAGCCAGGTACCATGGGGTGCCTGCTCTTCTGATGCCAGAGGGGCCCGTGGTATACACACAGGGGAAACACCACGTCAGCTTGACTGCTGGTACTGCCTGGGCCTCCTATGCTCTGTGATTGAGGATACTGCCTCAGACCAGGGCCTCACAGCCTGGTTCCTGGAGCTACCAGAAGAGAGATTGAGGGGAACTAAGGCTGCAGACTGCAAGCACAGCCCCAGCACCCCAGTGCCGTCAGGAGGGTGGGCCTGACTGAGCTCCCCGCTATTTTGCACAGATGGTCCTTTCTCTGCTCACTGAGCGCCCTCACCTTTCTCCTGGCAGGGCCTGGATCCCGCCCTTTTGCTAGTCTGAGAGAGTTTCTGATCAAGAGCTCATATCTCTGATATGGAACAGAAGGACACAAAGGGACCCGCATGGGGCCCCGCCTGCCGAAGGCCTACTGGGAAAAAAGCAATCATCACTACACAAAATGCATTGGGGTCCACGTGTTCTAGGTTGAGGATCCTGCTTGGTCCTCATCTTGATGCCTGCAGGTTCTGGAAGTCTCCCTATGCTGACCTGAGGCCACTTCCTTAATCCAAGGAGAGATCCTCAGGAGACACTGGGAGAGCAAGTGAGGGGATTCCATCCACTCACCTTTGCCTGCACTTCCCAAGGCTGACAGAAGGTGCATGGTGGGGTTCAGTCCTGTGTGTTTGGTGAGGGGTGTTTTTTGAGTCCCTGACTCATGGCAGGGCGTTAAACCCTCCCTCTGCTGACCTGAGTGTAGCCCGCTAAGACCGAGGCCTTCTCCTCCCTGAGACCAATGAATCCGGTATAAAACAGGGAGCCTCAGCTTACAGTCCTGCTCATGCTCTCTGGGGTGACAGCAGAGGCAGGGCAGCTTTCTCTTGGGCCCCCATCTGCCTTTGCCTGTTAGGAGAACTATCGAGGGTACCCTCAATCTTCCCACAGTGTTGTCACATAGACTCTTGGTAGATTCTTGGACCACTGAGTCTGTTGGCCAGATGGGGGTCCTTGTTTTGTCCTGAGTGGTGCTCTGAAAGAAAGGTCCTCGCTTCCCTGAGATGCCAAGAGAGAAGTGAGGAGCCAGCACATCTGATGACCATTGGGTGGGGTGTCACTAGGGGCTGACAATGGATGACATTAGGGGCTGTCCCTGCTTGTTCTTGAGTGGTGGGTTCTAAGGTCTTCCTGGGGGTTACTCATCTTTTCCCCTGATGGAGCCTGCCCTTCCCCAACCCACAACACCCTGACGTGAGCGGACATCTCCCCTTACCACCAAGACCTCATCTTCCTGAGTTTTCCCCAACTTCCTGCCCACAGTGCAAGTGAGAGTGCCCCTTAATGCCACCCTCGATCAGGTTCTCCCAGAGCTAATAACTGAAGGTAGCCAGACTCTGTGGGGTTCCTTCTTTCTGGGCCAGGAGTACCCGCAGTCATCAGTACTCAATTCTGCACACCTTGGGTCCTGCATACCCTCTGGCCCCGTCCCTCTGTTGAACAGGTGTGGCTCCCTCTGCTGACCCGTGAGTGACACCGGGATCACGGTTCTCACCTTCCTGAGACCTCCCATCCCCAACCATGTGGCAGAAATGAGAGCATGCCACATGTTACCCATGCCTGAGGCCTCCCAGGACTGAGAACGGAAGTCAGGCTCCACAAGTTCCCTTTTTCTTTGGGCTGTGTAGGTACCTTGTTACCTTCAGTCTTCAGCAGACTTCCACCCTTTGACTTCGGGCAGGCCCTGGATTCCTCCCTGTGCTGACCACTGTGGCTCCCTCTGCTGAGCTGAGGATGCCCTTCAGACCAAGGTTGCCACCTCCCTGAGACCCAGGAGGCAGAAGGATGGGGGCACTACACAGACACCCCTGCATGGAATTCCCAAAGCTGACAGAAGGAGCAGGTGTCATGGGGGTTTTCCCTGTCTGGGTGTCCTCCTGGTATTCGTATTTACTCCACGAGAAGCCATGGCCCTTTCCTTCCTGCTGAGCCGTGGATGTGTCTTGTATACCAAGGCCACCATCTCCCTGAGGCCCCCAACCAAGGAGTGGGGGACCATGTCCCTTCCCCACAGTCTTACCCCGGGTGCCCCGGTCTGAGAGCAGGGGCAGGTTTCCTGGGTCAGCAATGGGAGGTCTGCTGAGTCCTCCCTCAGGGCTCTGGGGCGCTTCCCTCTGGTGACTTGAGAGTCCACTCCTCAGACCACAGCCCTCTCCTTTCTGACACCCTAAAAACGCAGCAAGGATGCACCCTGTGAGGCCACAGAGCCTGGGACTGCCCAGGGCTGAGGTCTCCTCTGATCTGGAGTCCGAGATCCCCTGAGTCCTCCCTCTTCCTCTTCTCTTTGACTCCTGGCAGGGCTGGGCACCACCCCTCCGCTGACTTCAGTCTCAGTCTCTGGGATTCCTGAGGCCAAATGTGGAGGCGCCTCAGTCTCAGACAGGGGTAGGGTGGGCCCCCTGTTCTGGGGTTCTTGGTCCCCTCAGGCCTCCCTCATCTCCCAGCATGGCCGGGGCCCCTCCCTCTGCTCCTCTGAAGCCATGTTCGTGATACCAAGCCCCTTCCCAGCATCGGTCCCAGATGCGGATGTCAGAATCAGCGTCTCAGGCCACCATGCCCGGGCGCCATGCCGAGGGCTTCCCGGAGTTGACAGCAGGGGCAGAGATGCGCTCTGTGGGGCCTCAGCCCTCCCTCAGGGTCCTGATCTTGATGCCTGGCAGAGCCTGGGCCCTGCCCTCTCCTAACCAGCCCTGCCCTGGCCTCACCAAGCTCTCACTCCAGAGACCCGGGGGCTTAAGGGGCCGGGTGGCCCAGCGTGAGAACTCCGCCCCCCACGACCCCTGGTGGTCCAGGGCTGGCAGCAGGGGTGGCGCTAGATTACTTAGGGTCCTCTATCTGGGGCGGGGGCGTCCTCAGCCCTCACTCAGCGTCTCACCTGCCCCCTCACAGAGCCTGGGCCCGCTGCCGTCCGCCGATCTCAAGGCGGTCTGTCAGAAGCAGAGTCTGGCTTGTCTGTCACCCGTGCGGCTGCGTCAGTGGCGTCACAACCGACCATCATCCGGGGCTTCTCTGGGTTGACAGCAGGGGCGGAACCGGATTCCAGCGGGGAATGGAAGGCTCTGCCAGACCTCACTCACCTTGAGGCCTGGCAGAGCCTGGAACCCCGCCCTCTGTGGATGGTGTCTGCTCCCCTCAGACCAAGGCCCTCACGCGACTCCCCTGAGATGGCAGTAGGGGAAGGGAGTGGTCGGGGTACAAGGCTGCCGGGGTCTTTCAGGGATGACAGGAGGGTCAGAGCTGAATTCTGCAGCCCCTCTATGTGGTGTGGGTGGGCTCTAAGTCTCCACTCAGGAGGATCCTCCTCCCGACTCCTGGTTCTTTTAGGAGACGCTCTGTTTCTGTCACCTCGGAGCATTTGCACAGCTGCATCATCCCTTGCATAGAACGGCTGCGGGTCCCGGGCTAGACGCTCCCTGCAGGGTTGTAGCACCCACGATTGTAGTGACCTCTGGGAGAAGAGGCACGCCTTCTCACCGTGGGTCTTCCTCAGCCAGAAGTGGCCTTGCAAACCTTTTGTACTAAAGGATTTATTTTCACACTGAAGAGGCTGAGGAGCTGCAAGAAATCTGCGGAGGTCCTGAGTTTTGAAGTTATCTAACATTTCATAGTCCGCTTTAGTGATTTGCATATTTTAATCCTTATGTAATCCTCATTCCTATAGTAAGAAACCAATTTTACATCTGTGCCAATTGTATATGTGCATTATGGATGGTATATGCAGATCATATTTACGTTTGTATGCATAAACGTGCATATGTATGTATGCATGCCTACATCATTTATGTATAACTACATGTACTCATATGTATATATCTTCACATATATTTATACACATATGTATGTAGACTATATGTACTTATTTCATCAAACAACATCTACTCATACTGTGTGTGATTCACTCCTACCATTCTATCTCTCTCTCATTATATCTATTTGGTTAAAATAGTGACATACTGGAAGGCCAGTCCTTACCTACTCTTTGTTTCTAGTTGTTATCAGAACAACTCTGGAGCCACAGGCTCTCAATCAATCCCATTTTTCTGGGGTCCTGATATTACCCCGGGGCTACTGGCATCATGTTATGAGGTGCAGACCCCGATTGTACATGGATGTGAGGTGGTCTTTTAAAAATTTTCCTGCAACTCACCCTGTCGTCTGCAGTGGCTGCAGATCTCGACTTTCTTGCCTCTCCACCCACCTGAAACACAAGTACCCGTTCAACACAGTCTTCAATGTTCCCCAGGGTTTTCTCTGTTTTGTTGTTTAGACTTTGTTGCTGATATTGTTCTTTTATTTCTCTTTTTCCCTTCTATGTTTTTCCAGAGTTGATTTTGGGCGTAGAGCACAGCAGCCTGGGCTTTATTGTCATACGTTTTCCCCACCCCCGATTCCCCTGAACCCTGACCACGACAGATATTTTTACTGTCTTTATAGTCTGGCCTTTCTAGAATGTCAAATAAATAGACTGGTTTATAATCAGCTATATGACTCTGATGAGCACTCTTAAATATAGGTTTCTAAGAACCTTAGAGATTGTGCCATTGGAATAGAGAGAAAAACTTGCAGGACTCTTATAGAGAGAGCTGATGTATTCAAGAGGATTGGTGATCCAATATCAAGCAGAACAGAAGTGAATTGCATGGATTGAACTAAGAGAAGACTGAAATAAGCGTTTACGAATTTTTACTTGAAACCTGATGATTTTGTTCGTTTTGTTTTTCAAAGTCAAGAAAACTTGCTCTTCTTTCAATCTCTTTATAGGTTTTAAAAATTGAGTAAAGTATATTGTTGTGAGCAAGATTTAAAACATAACTTCTTTCTTTCATCCTAATTTGTCCAAGTTTTGGAAACTA